ATTCTAATTCAATACATATACTCCTTTTAATACAGCGATATATTATCAATACTATGTAAAGTAATGCTCACAGCAACACTACTTTTGATAGCAAAATATTGTGTATTACCTAGCACCCCCACAAAAAATGTATATAATGTGTAAAGAAATTGTAGTATATTCAGGTAGCGTGATGCCTCCAGCTTTGTGCTTTTGACTTAGGATTGTCTGGGAATGCGGGCTCTTTTTTGGTTTCCATAATAACCTTAAAGCAGCTTTCCAATTCCGGAAGAAACTCAGGTAGCATTGATGGGGATCGCACAAACTTGACATCAACAAAGCGGCTTAAACCGTTATCTGGGCAGAATGGCCATCTTCACGAATGAATTCCTCCTATCCAGTTGAGCCAATGGGTATCTTCATTCCTGTTTGGTCCTTTAGAATCACTGAGCAGGGTTGTAATTCCTTGAAGAGCTTCCCTTTACACCCTTTGTACGTTTGGATTCCTAGGGTATCGTTATTCTCGTTGAAAGCAAATTGGAAATGGAAGTTCCATGTCCTGATTGGCTCTCTCTTGTGTCTGTTACTGTGTGTATAAGAAATGCTTGTGATTTTTGCACATTAATTCTTGTATCCTGAGACCTTGCGAAAGTTCTTAAATCAGCTAAGGAGATGTTGGGCGGAAGACAATGGGGGTTCAAAATAATACAATTCCATGTCATGCTGCAAACAGGACAATTTGAACCTTCCTTCTCTTCCCTAACTGAATACCTTCGAATTCTTCTCTGCCTGATTCCCGGGCCTAAGCCAGACCTCCAACATATGTGCAAATAAGTGGTAGGACGAGGGCATCCCCTGTCCCTTGTGCCAGGTTCAAAGGGAATTTTCCAGTTTTGCCCCATTTCAGTATGCTATGGCTGCGTGGGTTTTGTCCATAAAGAGCCTATATTTTAGGTACATTCCCATCAAACCCAACTGCATTACTGCGAGTTTAGCCAAATGAAGGCCTTGGGCCCGTACAGTAACCAAAACACCACAATGGTACGGTACGAGAAACCAAGAATATAGACCCAAGAACCAGAACCAGCAGTCCTCCCAGAAAAATAATACCACACCATCTGAAGCCCATTTACCTCCTTTGACAAACCTTTGACGAGAAACCAAAAATGGGGGAAAGGAAATCCCCTATTTAAATAAATGGGTGCTGGGAAAATTGGCTAGCCATATAGAAAAGCTCAACGGATCCTTTCCTACCCTAACGAAAATTATTCAAGATGGATTAAATAAATGTAGACCTAATACCAGTAAAATTGCCTAGAGGAAAACCTAGGTAAGTAACCATCAGGGACATAGCCCAAGTGGGCAAAGACGTTCAAATTCTAAAACACGCCAAAACAACAGCAGCAAAAAGCCACAATCTTGACAAATGGGACGCATTAAGACTAAAGAGCTTTTGCACAGCAAAAAGAACTACCATCAGAGTGAACAGGCAACCCCGACAGAATGGAAAAAACAGAAAACTCTTGTGCATCTACTCATCTGACAAAAGGGCCTCAATACCAAACCCCTAACACAGAACTCCACAACATGTACCGAAGAAAAAAACAAAACAACCCCATCAAAAAGTGGGCAAAGAACGGGCTGAAACAGACCCCATATTCCTCAAAAGAAAGACAATTCAATACAAGCCAACAAACACAATGAAAAAAATGCTCATCCATCACTGCCCCATCAGAGAGAATGCAAAATACAAAACCACAATGAAACTACCCATACCACCTACAGTTAAAATTGGCGATCAATTAAAACAAGCAGGAAACAACGAAGTCTGCTGGAGAGGACGTGGAGAAAAAGGAACACTTTTTACAGCAAGTTGGTGGGATGGTAAAAACAGTGCAACCATTAGGAAACAGTTATGGCTGATCCTCAAGGATCGAACATAATGTACCATATGACAGCCCCATCCAGTTACCTCGGTAATATACCCAAAGATTATCAACAATTGCGCTATAAAGACACCACTGCACGCACCGTATGTTATGCAGCACTATTCACCAATAGCAAAGACTTGGAATCAACCCCAAATGTCCTATCATACAGATTGATTACAGAAAATGTGGCACATATACACCATGGAAATACATGCCAGCCATAAAAAAGGATGAGGTTGCGTCCCTTTGTAAGGAGACTGGACTGCAGCTGGAAACCAATCATCTCCCTTAGCCAAACTAAGTCACAAAACAGAAAACCAAACACCCCGCATGTTCGTCACTCATTAGGTGGGAATGGAACACAAGAGATCACTGGACTCAGGAAGGGGCATCACACACCGGGCCCTTCATGGGGAGGGGGAGGGGAGGGACGCATGGGAGTTAAATACCTGATGTAAATGACAGTTTGATGGGTGCAGCACAGCAACATGGCACAAGTATACATATGTAACAAACCTGCACGTTATGCACATGTACCCTACAACTTAAAGTATAATAATCATAAATAAATTAAAAAAAAAAAAGAACACACACACACACAAAAAGAAATTGTAGTATATTCATAAAATTGAATTTTATAACATAACGAGAAGAAATAGCTCATTTTTATGTGCAACAATATAGATAAATCTTAAAAACATAAAGTTGAAGCAAACAAATGAGTATTTGCTTCAATATTTCATTTATGTACATTTCTCAAGAAGCCAAAGTTGTCTTGGTAATAGCAATCGGAACAGTGGTTATCCAGCATGGGTAGGGACAAGGAAACAAGTGAAGGAGAATTTCTACGTTGACAGTCATGTTGTGTTTCCTGATCTGGATGCTTTTTTGGCTCAGTCTGCCCATTATATGAAAATTCGTGGCCAGGTGTAGTGGCTTACATCTGTAATCCCAGAACTTTGCAAGGTGGAAGTGGGAGGATAGCTTGGGCCCAGAAGGTCTATACAAGCCTGAGCAACATAGAGAGAGCTTCTCTATACAAATAAAAATAAAAATAAAAATAAATTAGGTGGGTCTAGTGGCATGCACCTGTAGTTCCAGCTACACCAGAGGCTGAGTAGAATTGCTTGAGTTCAGGCAGTTCAGGTTGCTGTGAACCATGATTGCGCCACTGCACTCCAGCCTGGACAACTGAGTGAGAGTAGAGCTCAAGGAAAAAAAAAGAAAAGAAACATGTAGTATTAGGACTGGTACACCTTTCTAATTGTATGATATACTTCAATGAAACGTTTAAAAATAATAATTTGAAATAAGTTAAAAATTAAAGAAAACGAGAGATAAGAGATATGGAAAAATTAGAAGCCAATAATTAGATGGAGGATTTAAATATTGACATATCATATAACACTACTTAGTTTGGTGTGAAATTATTGTTTGTTTTATTGTTCTAGACCCTAAGCATGCAAATGAAAGCTGGTTTCATTGAATAATGGATTTAGATAGGAGAAATCTCTGAATCATAGTTTGCAGGTTATAATGTGCTTTCACTTATCTCTTTTGGCAGCATCCAGCTACACTATTGTGGGTGGGTGGGTCTAATGGTGGGTGTTTGTGGAAGGCAAGTGGAAAGAAAAGGTGTAATTTCTGTTTTAAGAAAATAAATAACTCAGGCGCGGAGGCCAAGGTGGGCAGATCACAAGGTCAGGAGATAGAGACTATCCTGGCTAACACGGTGAAATCCCGTCTCTACTAAAAACTACAAAAAAATTAGCCGGGCGTGGTGGCGGGCACCTGCAGTCCCGGCTACTCTGGAGGCTGAGGCAGGAGAAAGGCGTGAATCCGGGAGGCGGAGCTTGCAGTGAGCAGAGATCACGCCATAGTACTCCAGTCTGGGCTACAGAGGGAGACTCTGGCTCAAAAAAAAAAAAAAAAAAAAAAAAAAAAGAAAAAGAAAAGAAAAGAAAAAAGAAAAAGAAAATAAATGTATCAAATTCTGTTAGGTAAATAATAATGGCAGCCTAAATTTACTTTTTTTGTTCCAGTTGATTTTTGTGTGTTGTGCTGCTGGATAACTTTGAACTGAGTAAAACAAAGTCACATCATGATGGTGTAGGCATATCATTAAAGAAAAGTTGAGAAAGGAGGATAGGCTTTTCTTAACAGAAGCTTGTTGCAGGAAATTTCACTAAAGTTGTGTAATAAGGTTTAAAATTAGTACTTTAGTATCCCATACATTTGTTTATAAATATTACAAGGGCTAAAGAAACATCTCAGGGAGTACTAATTTCTATCTTATTATCTAATTTTTCTTCAGGGAAAATTCCAGGAAAATAAGCTATCAGTAAACAGACAATTAGGTTTGGCTCCAGAATTGATATCTGCAATCAAAAATGTCAAAAAAAAAAAAAAAAATACTTGTTCTTTACGACATCAAAGTATTCTAGAACTTTAATAATTAAACTAGTAAAGCATGGTGGTATGAGGACAGTCAGAAAATAAGGACAGGAAAAATACACAAAGTTATGGTAATATATTAAACGAAAAAACACAGAATAACATGGAAAGATAATAAATCGCTTAATACAAACGCTATTTAGCAAAATAGAGTTTCTTCTATTAAGCTTCCTCCATTAAGCTGTGTAATTCACTTTTTGCACAAAAACAAAATCCAGTGTGAATTAAAAATAAACTCAAAATAAAACCATGTGACTTTCAGTAACAAAATTATGGACTCTTTTTTTTTTATTTTTTGGTTAAATTTTAATAATATAACACGGGGAAACAAGTACTTGAATTTTGCTTATGGAAGTATGAACTACTGAAATTGTCTAAAATGAAATGACAATACTTATAAAAAATTAACAGAACAAACTTTTTATACTGCAGTTTCATTTCTATTAATATACCTAGAAAAATGCTTGCACAGATATGAATATATATATGTGTGTGTGTATGTGTGTGTGTGTGTGTGTATACAGACACATTAATTTATTCATCAATCATAATGATACCCCAAACCATTGACTGGATCTCATAGGTCTAGTAACAGATGAGCTGTTACCTTTTTGAAGAAACTATTTCAATCAAATTTCAAGCCTCGTCTTTGGAACAGAATATTTTTACTATCTTATCTCTAATGTGCTTGGTCTTTATCCCATAGATAAAGGGGTTGAGGATTGGTGGGACTACTAGGTAAATACTGGAAAAGGTGATGTGTACATATGATGGGATATAAGATCCAAATCTGTGAGTAAAAAATGAAAAAAAAGTAAGGAGATAGAATTGGAAGAAGACACATATATGGATAATACATGTATTAAATACCTTAAGTCATGCCTCTTTCAGAGGCAAGTGAAAGACAGTGATAAATACTTGAATATAGGTGAGGGTGATGATAATGAAGTCAAGCCCACCAACCATAAATGCTCCAAAGATGCCATAGAACTTATTAATGTAAACATCCTCAGTGGCAAGCTTCACAAGGGCCATGTGTTCACAGTAAGTGTGGGATATTAACTTGGTTCGGTAGATTTTCAGACGGCATTTTATAAGCAATAGATGTGGAATTACCAGAATGGCAGGCCGCAATGTCACTCCAACTACAATATAAGTGACTAGCTGTCGAGTGAATACCATAGCATGCCTCAGAGGATAACAGATCACTACATAGCAGCCCAGAGCCATGGCTAGCAGGATTCCTGATTCGATGCCTTGAAATGTGTGGATGAGCCACATCTGAAAGAGGCAAGCATCAAAATATATCTCTGGCAAATGGAACCAAAAAATACCAAGCATCTTGGGCACAATGCTGGTGCTAAGTGAAATGTCTGTGGCTCCTAGCATGGCCAGGAAGATATACATGGGTTCCTGGAGGCTTGGCTCAGATTTGATGATGATCAAAACCAGAGAATTTCCAATCAGAGCAATGATGTACATAGCACAGAATGGAATCCCAATCCAACACTGTACAGATTCCAAACCAGGGATCCCAATAAATGTCAGTACAAAGGGCATGAACAAGGTACCATTTGTAATAGGCAGAGCCATTCAGGGGTCTTCTTAGAAAGGGGAGAGAGTTTGCCAAGCTGTGATTCTCTGTACTTTTATATATTTTATGCTTATCCAATCACAAAGTTGTTGAATAGCAAGAGTAAGAGAACCAACACCATCAGTTTACTTATCTTTTTTTAAATGAATGAAAAAAATGCCAATATAGAGACCCATAGAAAGGTTCACCAGTTTACACTTTAGCAAAATCATTCAGCCACATTCAGTGATATCCACAGTGTGAAGACTTTTGGACATCATCTCTGAGAAGAGGCCAATATGATCAACCTTCTTAGTGGTGCTTTCCTTCTTCCCCAACTCCATTTTCTCTTTCCTCTTCTAACCTGTTCATGGAAAGCAGGAATACAAATATTTATATTTGGAACTATATTTTAAATGGAGAAACACAAACGTTTATTCTAGCTTTAGCCCCAAGTTTTCAAATATGACACTGCTGCAAGACTCAGACTCCATTCAATAGACAATGGCAGTCACATAATTTTGATGTATTACCATAGCAATTCTGAGACAGGAGACAAGTCTTACACAAAAACTCTCTAGTTCACATCACCCTAAAACTCTCATATAAGCACCCGAAAGCTCTCACACCAGAATCTTTTCCACACATTGGAGGGTAAAGCATATTTAAAGTATTTATATGCATGTATAAACTTAAAATTAAGGAGATTTTGGAGTACCTGGTTTAGGAGAAGAAGGACCTCAGGTTGTATCATCAGTGGAACCATGAAGAAGATGTTGAATTAGTTAGAGGTCAGGTTAAGTTAATGAATATGGAAGCCTGGATCTCCATATGGACGCAGTGTGAACAGATATAACCCTTATATAGAAATCAGGGGCTGGGCGTGGTGGCTCACGCCTGTAATCCCAGCACTTTGGGAGGCAGAGGCGGGCAGATCACAAGGTCAGGAGATCGAGACCATCCTTGCTAATATGGTGAAACCCCGTCTCTACTAAAAATACAAAAAAAAAAAAAAAAAAAAATTAGCCAGGCGTGGTGGTGGGTGCCTGTAGTCCCCGCTTCTCAGGAGGTTGAGGCAGGAGAATGGCGTGAACCTGGGAGACAGAGGTTGCAGTGAGCCAAGATCACGCCACTGCCCTCCAACCTGGGAGACAGAGTGAGACTCAGAAAGGAAGGAAGGAAGGAAGGAAAGAAGGGAGGGAGGGAGGAAGGAAGGAAGGAAGGAAGGAAGGAAGGAAGGAAAGAAGGGAGGGAGGGAGGGAGGGAGGAAGGAAGGAAGGAAGGGAGGAAAGAAGGAAGGAAGGAAGGAAGGAAGGAAAGAAAGGAAGGAAGGAAAAGAAAATAAAAGAAATCAGGAAAGTCGAAAGCTTTATTTTTTATCTTCTGGGAAAGTTGACAAGAAAAATATGATGGGATGTGACTATTTGAGAATTCTTCAAGAAATTCCATAGGAAATAATTGACAAACGTGTTGAGGTGGAAGTGCCTTGGGAAGCCGCAGAAATAGAGAAACATCCAAAACAAAATTCTGGTTGCAATATAAAGGCTGTGGCTGGGACACTTAACGATTTCTAGTAACCGTATACCAGCAAATAACTATGATTCAGTTGCAGGGCTGATAACACAATATTATGCATCAGTGATTTTTTTTCTTTAAAGTGAGAGCAGAGAGGTTATGCAAGTGATGTCTAGGTCTAAATCAAGGTGATCTATAAATTTTATAAGTGGTGTGCTAAGCATTTCTAATGTCTCTCCAGAACTCAAGTCATCACATCCAAATATTATTCTGTGTTCTTCCCTGGCCCCCATCACCATAATTATCACAGATTTAAACTCTGGAATGTTTTGGAGATCATTATATTGTTAGAGCCCAGAAAACTAATATCCCTGAATATAGCACTTTAACATTCTGAACTAAAGAAGCAACCGCAAGGTTTCTCTGATATCCCCCAGGCCTTCCTGTCTTTCACTTCTTTGTCTTTCCCAAAGCATGGGATGAGGCTATTATCTGAAGTTCCCTTATCTACCTAGACACCAGACCCCTAAAGAGGAACACGATTGCCTCCCATCCCTTCCCTGAAATTCCATTAACCAGAGAAGATTAAAACTCATATTACAGAGGACGACACTGAAAACTAAACACCACACCTGGAACCCAGATGAACTTCATCTCAAACTATTGTCTCTTCTCAGGTCCCATTCAATCTCTCCCCTCCTCTATAAAGAAGGAAATATAAGCATCTATCCTTAATTCAGCTATCAGGTGATCATTCTCCTTAGATTTCTCCATGCTTATGCATGTTAATAAAATTCTATGTCTTTTTCCTGTTAATTTGTCTTTTGTCAATTCATTTTAACAGACGTAGACTTGAACCTTCAGAGGGACAGTTTGAACTTCCCTATACACTCATGATCCTTCTCTTTTTCAGGTAAAACATCTGCAGGTCTAAATTACTTCTCCAATAGCAGGATCCTAACTGCCCTTAACATCTCAATCTTCCAAAGCAGATTCTTCAACTTATCATTATTTTTCTTTAATTGTAGTTCATAGAATTTCAAAGTCAGACCCTAACAAAAATATACTTATACTCTTCATGTTTATGATTTGGATTTTTTCTGGAGTCTACATTCATTAGCTGCACTTGTACTCATACTTCAAGATGTACTGTTTCACCTCCACTTGAGCTGTACACATTCCTAACTATAACTTACTCAATATCCAGAAGCAGCCGTGAGAAGTGACTGGCACAGAAGAATGTTGCTCTTTGCTGGTCCCAGCTGTGGAATATTTGTGGTTTGTAACATAATTTTCCCTGATTACCAAAATTTTATTAGCCTCTCTCAAATCCTGAGAGATATTGTTTTTTTTCCTAGGGCAAAGATAGAAGTTTAAAGCCAGAGGAACAGATGCCACTTCTAAGGGTTATCGTCTTGCTCAATTCCCTGGGGGCCTGGCATATCTAGTATGGCCAGCAGATGGCAGTGTTGAACCATCTTCTGTTAGTAAAACACATTCCTGTCTCTCAGAGCCCCAGAGATAGGGTTTATCTCCTTCTCACTTGTGACAAAGAAAAAGGACGCTAAAATAAGGCAATGCATCGATTGAGACTCCATTTCATTTCTGAACAAATTGGACAGCGTTATTGTATGCTTGCTAAGGAAAAGGAATAGAAAACAAAACAAATATTGTATCTTATATTTACTCTTGACCATCAAAGGACTTCCAAAAGGCATTTCAGTAATAGAAGGAAGGAGTGTGTTTGGAAGTGGTAGGCAGAACAGGGTTTAGAGTACAGTAATCCCTGTAAGAACTAAGACTTGCTAAGAGAAAGGGAAGAAAATCAATTATGCACAGATGATTTTTGGTCCTATTTTAAGAGACAGAAAATTAGAACAGTCCTTCCTAGAAAAGTAAATCACAGGCCTTTTATTTTTTTCTTTCTTTTTTTTTAATCTGTTGATCCCAAGAAGTTCCCTACTCTTAAATATCTTTAATAGAGAGTTTAATTTAAAATGCATATATGTTTTGGCTTTTAGTTTTTCCTTATGTAAAATTAATTAATGCAGAACGACACAAAGTAGAGAACCTAAACAAAATGGACTAATTCCTGGAAACATACAACCTCTCAATGTTGAGCCAGAAAGAAATTGAAATTTTAAGCAGACCAATAACAAGTTCCAAAATTGAATCACTAATAAAAAAACCTACCGACCAGTAAAAGCCCTGGACCAGATAAACAGCTAAATTCTACAAAGAAGTATAGAAAAGAGCTAGTACCCATCCTACTAAAATGATTCCAAAAAGTTGAGGAAAAGGGACTAATCTCTAACTCATTCTGTGAGGCCAGATTTGTTCTGATACCAAAACCTGGGAGAGACACAAGAAGAAAAGAAACCTTTAGGCCAATATCTCTGATGAACATAGAGTCAAAAATCCTCAACAAAATACTAGCAAACCAAATCCAGCAGCACTTCAAAAAACTAATCCTCCAAGATCAAGTAGATTTTATTCCTGGGATGCAAGGTTGGTTCAGCATACACATAACAATAAATGTAATTCATCACATAGACAGAACTATAAACGAAACCACATGATTATCTCAATAGGCACAGAAAAGTTTTTCATAAAATTCAACATCCCTTCATGTTAAAAGTCCTCAACAAAGTAGGCATTAAACGAACATACCTCAAAATAATAAAAGCTGTGTATTACAAACCTACACCCATCATACTAAATGGGCAAAAGGTGCAAGCATTCCCCTTGAGAAATGGAACAAGACAAGGATGCCCACTCTCACCACTACTATTCAACAAGGTACTGGAAGTTCCAGCCAGAACAATTCGACAGTAAAAAGAAACAAGAAACAAAAGGGATCCAAGTAAGAAAAGGGGAAGTTAAACTATCTCTCTTCACCTGCAATATGATTCTATACCTAGGAAACCCCATAGTCTCTGCTCAGAGGTTGCTAGAACTGCTAAACAACTGAAATAAAATTTCAGAATACAAAATCAGTGTACAAAAATGAGTAGAATTTCTACACATCAACAACATCCAAGGTGAGGGCAAAATAAAGAATGCAATTCCATTCACAATAACCACAAAAAGAATAAAATATCTAGGAATACAGCTAACAAGGGAGGTGAAAGATTTCTACAATGAGAATTTAAAAACACTGCTCAAAGACATCAGAGTTGACACAAACAAATGATAAATAAAACATTTCTTGTTCTTGGATAGAAAGAATCAATGTTGTGAAATGACTGTATTTCCCAAAGCAATTTATGGATGCGATGTTATTCCTATCAAATTGCCAAAGACATTTTTCACATAATTAGAATAAAGATTCTAAAATTTATTTGGGACCCAAAAAGAGACTGAATAGCCAAAGCAATCTCAAGCAAAAGAACAAAGTCATGAAGTCACACCAGATGACTTCAAACTATACTCCAAGGCTACAGAAACTAAAACAGCATGGTACTGGTACAGAATTAGACACATAAACCAATGGAACAGTTTAGAG